CAAGTACATTAGTTAACTATTTGTGTCCATATGTGTCGACTACTCTGTCGACTGCCTTCAGAGAGCAGGAGGCCCATCTACAACACCGGGGCCCTACCGAGAAGTGTCACAAAAACCAGCAATGGGAAATAAAGATTTCGAGCGAGAGCCAGCATCACCGCAACCTTCAAGCTTCAACCATTAGGGTTTGGGCTTTCAGGTCCAAGCACCTTGGCAGTTGACAGATCTTCCTTCAAACTAGGCTAGATTTTCAGAGATTCTAGAATTCGAAGCATTGGACACCGCAACGCATGTGGAAAAAAGGGAAGCAGGCGCTGATGTTGTGGCATTCCCGTCCGCTTGCTCCGCTGTTCTGTGCGTCAGCCGCTAGATCCGGTCAGGTGCTATCACATAGATGCATCGTTGGGAACTCAGTGCCCCACATGCGACAGCCATGCGCCAAACGATACACTATACAGAAGATCGGCTGGGGCGGCGGCTGCTTCAACGCCGGGTAGTGACATTCATTAACGTGAGACGAGCAACGACCCGAATCTGCGAAAAGCCTGAACTCTTCTCAGCGAAACCATGAACTCCCAGCCCTTGACCGCAGCTCGAAAAGAGATGCTAAAGCTTCTGTGCACGCTACGTAGCTGCCTTCTAGCTCATCCGAAATCCTCAAGTGCTCGTAGAATCTGAAGTTCACACGCAGCAATCTTTCCCATCTGAGGGAGAAAGCGCTAAGCCGAATCCTCCTTAGGATTATGAAAAGGGCCGCGTCAAAGCTGCCCACCGCACTCCGGCCGTGCGACCGAGCCGAAGCAGAGGTTCCAAGATCCCATCCGTTTAAAAGGCAGGCTTCCCGAGGCGGATGGTGAGAAAAGTAGTTGGGGGGGCGAATATTTTTCAGTGACTGGGGGCTTGCAGAGGTGTACATGGTGTATTCATCCGTTCCTAACAACACGACCGCAACGAGCCAAGATCTCGGGCTCTCTGAACTGCGCTGCCATGCTCCATGGCCTATGCCTCGCCAAAGCTGAAGAAGCTAAGAGAGGCCTTCTGACAAAATAGCTACAGTCATGGTACCTTCGAAAGGCTTGTATGTGGGTCTTCGATCACCGGTAATAAAACAAAGAGAGGTTCCCTCAGGAAGCCCAGTAGCACAAATCGTCTTTGATCCCCAATCGCTCTGCCACGGAGTGTCGAAGTCAGAATTGGTCGGACTTGGCTTAGTGTGCAGTCTGCAAGTTAGGGTGATGCTGGTGTTTTATCCCTAAGTCTCAAGATGTCTCAAGACTCACCTGCCTGTTCTCTCCAAAGTAGGTTGGGCTCGGCTTCACGAAACCGGTTCACACTATTCAGATCCTGATGGCCTCAAAGTGTTTCAGTTTATGCACCAATAACGGTTATGGACCTTCTGCTAATACGGCACGGCGGTTGCCACTGTTCTTAAATCATTGTAGCGCTTGCCCCATGCTTCTTCATCTTCCCTCGCCGTTATGCTTGCCAAGCTAAATCTGTCCAATCTGCGATGGTCGCTAATGATGCTGCTACCAGTATTTCAAACCGCGACGCCCGACCAAAGTCTGAAAATCATTTCGCCTTCCTTGCTGGGGTCACCAGGCCAGCAGTTCGGGCAGATACCCGGCGGGCCAAGCGAATCAGATCATACTTTAGAGTCATAAATCCGTAATTACTCCGCATGTCTATGTCCCCATGCATGTGCATGCCCGCGGTTGTAAGTATACATGTGCAGGTGCTCATGTATTGCGAGCTACAAACTTTCCCCTTACCAATTTCGGGCACCCCTGAACTTCTAAACCCGAAGCGATGTATCGCTGGCTGAAATGTAGGAAATCTCGTTCACCTCTGAGTCTATTCCCACTGAGGATGGTGCGACCCTGCAAGCGGAATCCCAAGAGGTTAAACCGACAACTCCCAAGTGGCATGATGAAAGTCTTCTTCGGCGACCATCTTGGCAAAAACGACCCTCGAAGTAAGCCCTTACTCCCGCTACGAGTTACGCGTCCCCTGCTTGCTAGAGCATGATGCGGTGCTGAGGGTTTCCAAATGTCCCAATGCTCTCACAGTGCTCTCGCCCACCAGGCATATTTTAAGGGCGCTCACCGGCCGCCAAAACGGAGGCCTGCAGCCAGCCGGGCAACGCTGCTGGGAGCTTTTGGGGGCTTCGGGTGTCGGACCTCTCTGCAGGACTCCAGGTCTATGAGCTGCGAACGTGAGCAGCACCCCGCAAAACCGGCTGCGCCCTCCACAGGCCGGGCCTGCGGCGCCCACTCCCGGCTGCGGATCGAGCACACGGCGTCGCTCGAACCAATGCGCCCCAGAGCCGCCAGGCAATTGGCTTACAAGGCGGTGGCCCGACAATGTCGATAGTCTCGAACAAAGAGGTCAGTCGCCAGCAGCAAAGCTATCTCCCTTTCATACAAACTGTGAAGTTGCTAAGCATTGTCAGTTTCTCAAGCAAAAGCAATCCTGCAGATGTTGGCCTCGTTATCTTGCCGACTGAGAAACCATATTGCAACAACAAACACGCGCGAGCACACGGGCAGGCGAAGACAAACAAACAAACGACTACCCATGCCGAAACAATCGGAACATGCAGTACACTCAGTACATGCTACAGACCGCTGGCTGGTTGCGTGCTCTGATTGTCTCCCCATTGTTGTGCTGCTTAGCGGGCCCCCACCTTGCGCGGCTCCAGGCCGTCCCTCTGCAAAGGAGCAAACACTAGTGCAAGATCGCTGCGCCGGGGCGGCACGAGGGGACGGAAGGGATGCCCAGAGAAATGCCCTCGATGAACCTCAAAGACGTTCTCACGCTGCCTTGGCATGCCCCGAACCAGCCTCCGATGAGAACGCTCTGCCAAGCCAAACCATCTGAATGTGCGACGTGCTCACAAGCCCGATCATGTTGAGGCTACAGGGAGCCCTAGGGGCAGTTGGACCCTTCTTCCCGGCCGCGGCTGAGACGCTCTCAGCTCTTCTTCCATTCCAAGAGCTGGGTGACCAAATCCTCCTTGCCTCAGCGACGCCAAAGCAGGGCAAGAGGTGGAAAACTTAGTTCCATTGCTGCCTTTTTAGGAGCCGGAACCCCTGAGCCACCAGCCCTCCTCAGGGAGGCCCTTACCGTACCCTAAACCCTCTGTCTTTACAGGCTTCGACTTACCGCATCTCGGATTTGAGGCTTGCAGACCTTTCGGGATTGGTCTGATTCGTTGCATCGACGCGGATGTCAACACGAAGTGGCTGCTCTGTAGAGGGGAAGCAGCTGACGGCTCCGAGCTTTTTTTCCACGTGGGCCGCGCGCTGCCTCCGGAGGTTGCCGGCAGCAGCGGCCTTGCAACACGCAGGCATCGGCATCGGTCTGACTGCAGGCCTTAGAACCCAAGTCCTGAGCTCTTCGTCTTTTCACGGTGCTCGAAATCGCAAGACTGCTGAAGTCCCACCCGCCTGCGCCCCGGCGCAGACGTTGGCCGCAGGCGTAATTTCTCTGGCTGGGCATCCGGAGCAGCATCGGCAGCAAACAAACAAACCTTGAACTTGAAGTGTAAATCCGGCAACTAAACCCCAAGCCAAACTTCAAACTCGGAAGCCTAAACTAACACCTACACCCTGACACAGCAAGACTTCCTGATCTGTTGCACCCTCAAACACCCGAAGCCAAAACCCTCGCACGCAAAGCCACGAAGCCTGGAACACCCGAACTCCCCATTTCTGGTGATCGACAGGGCAAGCCCAAAGTCTCAACCCCGACTGTCGAATTCTGCCGCCTCAGACGTCAAGCAAGCTCCACACTGCGTAATCTGCGTTGCCAGCAGGTTCGAATGCAAGGCGCTCTTCTGTGTATCGCTATGGCGCTGTCGCGAACATCTCGATTGAACCGAACCACTGTTCAGCTGAAGATGCTGCTACTTCTTGCTTGGCTTCACTCGAGCCTCGAGCCGTCCAGGTTCCATGTGATTGACAGATGTCGCTCGCTAGGCTTCCCCACATCCCGCTGCCATAGCATTGCATGCCTGCGAGTCACTGTCCTCCCGTCTTCCTAGGTCCAGGAGCCCCGGCCATCCAGGTTCACGGACTTCAGGATCTGCTTCAGGGACTCTGCGGCCCTGCTGGGGCGCACCTGGCCAGCCACGGAAGCATAGGAGGCGCTGCAGAAGCTCCGGATTTCTTCGGCTAGAAACTCGAATCGTAGAAGCTGCAACAAAGCTCAGCTTTCTCGGGCTCATACAGGCTACAATCGTACTAAGACGCTGGGCTCTGCGATTTTTCGAGCCGTCACCCGTAGCGGCTATGGACATGAGTCATTCCACGCGCCGCTTCCAAGACAGCAGCGACGAGGCTTTTTGTACCCGGAGAGTGCTTGACAGAGTTGAAGTGGGGCATACTGCACATTGACGTCATACCTCAAGACACGGACAGGATCGCAAGAGCACCTTGGTAGTGGTCTTGTTCAGAACGCCGATCGCCTTCCTGCCGAGCAGGCTGCCGATCTTCTTGACCTGGCCATTCTACGCTCTGTTCTCGGGCTGTTGTAACAACTCGCAAACTTTTGCAAATGCTTATGGCTGAGGGCCTTTGGGGTCATGATGTCTGAATCACCTCAGACTCTATGGGCATCATCGGACATGGAAAACATTGCAAGCCTTGACAGCTTCACACGAAGAACAGTAGCCCCTATGCCTCCTGCATGTCCTTCTTGTTAATGTCAGTGTACGACCTCACTGCATGCATGTGCCAGTGCGCAAGGGGCGATTTTCCTGGAGCTCCGGGAGCCCTGAGTTTGCAAAGCCGGCAAACTACCGCTGCTCTGAGCTGACTAGCGAACGGAGGAGAAGTCCTTCGGATAGTTTCGAGCTCCGAGACCATGAAACGTCTCGTTTACATCGCACAAGTCTCAAAAGCAAACCTTGGCTCAGGGTTTCAAAAGTCGATGTTAATGTAACGGTTTCCCCTGAATCCGCAATCCGAGATCGCCTTAACTGCTTTCAGCCCTGCCGCGCGCTCGGAGCATCGTCCGTGACGCAGGCAGGCAAGCACTTGGAGATACCAACGCAGGAGCAGTTGAACTCTCCCACGATCCACTTCTCATCCTGGCATGTGGAAACATTTAGAGGCTCCAAGCCGTAGCTCTAGGTGTTTCCGTAGTGGTGGAGCAGCCGTTCTGGTGGAATTGGTGCCAGGAATCGCAAAGTGCGTGGCGGCAGCGGTGGTATGCTCTGTGCCCGGTCTTCCCTCAAGAAAACTCGTATCACTCTTTTGCTACTACGATTGCTCCAACAAGTGTTTCTGGCAACGCAAAATTGTCGCTGTCAACAGTACTGCGATGGTAACTTACGGTGATGCGGACGGATGAGGGCGACGACAATGGTGGCACTGGTCGGCATCGCTACGGCTGAAACACTAGCGATGCACTATTTGACTATTACGCTTGCTTGGCCTTGTTGCAGGGGGATCAGACCTCGCGACGCGCGCCTTGGCGTCCGTGCCAAGAGGCGAGGAGTTGATGAAATCCGACGTCCACCAGAGTGGAATTGGCTCCTCGGGCTGCGGTAGGTTTCAGAATATTGTTTAGGCAACTTTGTCAGCACACCCTGGCACCGCGGGATGACCCGGAACCTCCATTTCATGGCCAATGCTTTCCAAGCATCGCTTTCCAATCCCAGACATGGCATGATCTTCGACCTGGTTTGAAGATTCTGGCTTCTGCGGTCAAGGCGAAACGGCGGTCCGATATCGACTCCGGCCGCTCACTCCACCGATGCACCATGCATGCCTCTTTAAGGCCGGAGCTTGCTGTTTCCTGCTGGATTACCATTGCGACCACTGCCAACGATCCCTGTCCAACTTATGCCGTAGGCCCCCACTTTTGCAAGTAAAGCCCACTTCCGAGTCACGGCACACCCGATCCTGCTCTTTTGAAAACTCTAAAGACGTGGTCCTTT